TCAATGCTATTATTCAATGGTTGTGCCGATAGTACTGGTAGTGGTTGGCAGTGGTATTGGCTCAACACTATCGAGACAACGAAGAGCTGATTTCCCTCTAATATTACTGACTATCAGACAAACCGTTGCTCTCAATATTATATATGTAGTTATGCCTGAAAGCTAAACAATAATACATATCTCATATGAATATTGTACCCCTATTTTTCTCTGTCATTGCCTAACATATACAGTGTTGCCTTGTTTTATGACATTTTAGTTGCACATCCTATCCCTCATATGGCTCTCTATACTAACTTTTATCCCAAACACCCTTTTTTTCTAGCAGTAACACAGCAGACAATGACATTTAATCAATATTTAAAACTATGAAAATATCTCTCATACCAACAACTCATTCATCCCCTTCCCCTTCAATCCCTTTCCCCGACTGTTGTTTCATATATTTAATAGGTCTCAGTCTCCATATTATATAACAAAAACATTGGATTTATATAAAGTTTATATACTTTTTAAATACAAAGAGGCGTCAAAATTGCTTTAATTTCAAAGTTTCAATGGTGTATATATTTTATAACAATAATCTACTTAAAACATAAATATTTCTTAATTTAAATAACACATACAAACACACATTATTATTATTCTTATTATTAATTATTATTCTTACAAAAAAAATAAAAACTGACATAAAATTTTATTTTCTAATTAGCTAATAATGGTTTTAAAATGCATAACAAAAACATTTATTTGAGTGTATTATTGTTTAATTTGATGTTAATCAAGAAAACCAATTTTTTAATAAGTTGTGAATTAGAAAATATTTTGTCATATAATTAATGGTTTTAAACAAACTAACAATAATAGTTAAGTCAATATAAAAAATTCAATATTTACTAATATTTAATAGTATATGAAGAGTCAGTATGAATATTTGTAAGTGTATTTTGATATCAAAAATATTGGATAAAAACACTATCAATAAAATATCTGGCAATCGGTCGGTCCATTGTTACGCCACTGTGACGGCACAGTCTATAATTTAAAATATATTTTCAAATATATTAAAATGTCATCTAAAAGATGAAAATGAATGCATTTCTGGCGATTCAAAAATTTTTTATGAAAATTAATGAATATATGAAATAAGATTTTTATGAAATATATTACAATATTGAATACGTGTACTGTTTTGTAACAAAATCCCTTTCACTCAGTCTCTCTCTCTCTCTCTCTCTCTCTCTCTCTCTCTCTCTCTCTCTCTCTCTCTCTCTCTCTATTTCTCTCACTCTCGCGTTCACTCACTTACAAACTCACCCGCTCTTTGCCTGTCTTTTATCAGAAAGAAATTTCATATTTAAAAGTGTTATTCTGTTATATCATATATAAGTAAAAATTTTTATTTAAATGCAAAAAACCAGTATATTATATATTATGTATATATATCTGTTTGGTTGATGTATATGTATATATGGTTTGGTAAAGTTTTTTACAACTTATCAAAGAGTGTGTAATATTTTTAGTGAATAAAAACTATTGTAACCCAACAACAGAGTAAAGGCTGTATATATGWATTGGTGGTGTAGAGCACTGGCAATGATGAGTGGGTAGAGAGTGGAGTCGTTTTGATCAATACTACGGTTCACTTTTTAGGGGAGATTATCGCCATTCACCTGACAATCTAACACAAGGCTCGTAAAGTATTAACTATTTTATATATAAATTTTATATATTATTTTGTGAACAACTTAGCCATCATTTGAATTAGTAGTGTCTCCTCAAACATCTAGACATATGATTGTGAGAAACATTACAAATGGTCCGGTTTATCGTTAAAATGGTACAATCGGTTCAATTATATGATAGATATTCCTTCAAAAAAAGTTTTAAATTTGTTTTTTGTATTCAAACTTTTCAAAGGCTTTCAATGATTTTTCTCCTTTTTCTCTCTCTTTATATAAAATAATACAATAGTTTTAGACTATATATATATATATATATATATAGATATGTACGGTATATATATATATATATATATATATTATAGAGCAGTAATAACACTGAAAAGTAATGGACAGCAAAACATATCAAACAAATATATTTTAAAATTTGTTTGATGTGACAAAAAGCGTTGCAATATCTAGTTATTAGTGTGTCCTCCATATCATTCAATAGCACTGATATTTTTGATGACATCTTAACAGTTGCTACAGTGAGCACAGCTCTGCAAAAGTCTTGAATACAATTGGATGAAACTTTCAAACTGTCATCACTGAGACATCACTGAAACTTTAATACCAAAAAGCATTTCATATCATTTTATCCTTTCTTTTTTTGCTCCCTTAGAGGCAAACAGCTATTCTCTATCTTTCTCTTTATTTCTCTCTTTCATAGCCCTACCAGTGCTCACTGTATACTACAACAACATTACTCTCTACTCTTTCACTACTGATTCCTCTACTCTTTCTCTTCTCTTTTTTCATTTTCTTTCCATCACTACTGATCTCACTCTCTCTCTCTCTCTCTCTCTCTCTCTCTCTCTCTCTCTCTCTCTCTCTCTCTCTCTCTCTCTCTCTCTCTCTCTCTCTCTCTCTCTCTCTCTCTTATTGCCTTTCAATGCAGTTTCACCGGGATTTGGTTAACTTATTTTGCATTTTGTGTATTGAGAAGTAGGGGCAGAGAGGGAATGGATGCAAAAAAGTATGCAAAAGAGCTATTTTAATGAAGACGATTGATTTTGTTGTACAGTGCGTGCTATGAGTGCTATGAACTGGAGTTTAGGGCTTTAAAGGCCAACTCAACTAATGTATTATATTATATGCAAAAATCAATAAGTTTTAGAATTAAGGATCTAAAGAATGAAAGGAACGGCTATATGAAAGAGAGAGAGAGAGAGAGAGAGAGAGAGAGAGAGCATTGGAGAGTAGGAGTGGGAGAGTCAGTGCCCGTCATTAGCAGCAAAAAACTAGTTTTTACGATAGCGTTAGTTATACTAATATTCAATGTATAACACTGTCATGGATTCACTATTGCATTGCATGTGTTTTACTAATTGATTGATTTGTTAGGCGTCTTAATCTATGAGGACGAGAGACATACACACACAGACTGCCAATAAAGTCGATATAGTAATCAATGTTATATTAAGTTCTGATTGTTTCCTATTATTTTTGAATAATAAAATTTCAATCCTATCATTTTTTTGTTATAATTTATTAAAAATAATTTTAAAATATTTTGTTGTCATGTGTAGTTACACTTAATGTTATAAAAATAAATAACAGTTTAGCTCATAGTTATAACACGTTTGCAATAAAATTGGTCATAAAAAAGTTGATATTATTGTGTGATAAGTGCTATAAGACATATGAGAGAGTTTAGGGTAAAAAATGTCATTTAATATAAAATGAAATAAATTTGTGTTTAAATCCATAGCAATAGTTTGCAAATCGAGTGAAATATTCTTCAAAAGAATTGGTTATTTTTGTTGAGGAATTGAGTTTCCATTCCATCACATCTACAGCTAAAACACATCCAACACAGCCATCACAGCCATAGCCAACACATCCAACACATCATCCATAACACTGACACTGCATAACAACGCAACTCTTTTTGTTCATAAAAAACAGTAAAGCATTGCATTTGCATCCAAAAGCATCCTCTCCTCCCTCTGCTCTCGCAGGCGATTGAACACTGTTTTTCTCCACTTTACTGTATGTATGTGTGTATATATATGTATGTGTATGTGTATGCCTACCCCCTTATCCCCATAAAGTATATGCAAAACTCCTAATTGGAATCCCAGTGCTCTGTGAATCAGTTGAAGCACTCAAACACAAGAGTTTGTATTCAATGAATGCATTGAATGTACGTTAATATCGATTTGTATTTTACATTCAAAAAAACCCTTCGTTTTTCAACATATAATGTGGCGATTCGTCCACAGAATAGTACAGAATATTATAGAATATTTGCATTAAAGTCGATGACTATATAAACATCAATGTCTTCAATGTCTCAACTTTTTTTATAGATTCTTTACAATCTCTCTTTACGACTAATATTTGACATAAATTTTATGCAAATATTGTAATATATAAAGTATACAATACTTTAAAGTTTTATTGAAATAAATCTTTTTATATAATTGTTTTTTCAAAGCAAGTGATTCATATAAATGCATAGTAACATAATTATTGCGAAAATCTCATTTATGATACCTAATAATTATTTTGAAAACAAATTTGTTAAACATTTCTGTTTGTTTATATAATCTTATATATCAATTGATATATTCTTTATTTCGTAACAAATTTCTAATTATTTATAAAGTTTACCTGTTGTCATACAACACTAAAAATTTATTGACAAATAGATCTATATCTATATTTATTTTATTGTATTATAAAATTTAAGTTATTTAACAAGAATTAAATACTTATTTATAGTAAACAAAACACAAAATAAACTTATCATAATGATAACTTATTAATTATAAAATTATTTATATTATTTATATTTTAAAGATTACTAAACATCTATATATAACTATAAATAATATAAATATGATGTTTTTGATAAATGATATTGTCTTAATGATTTAATAAATTTCGATTATTAAATCACATGTAGAGTTTTGTATGGAAATACGGTAAAAACATTTAATAATTTTCAATGGGATTTATTTAACATTTCACTTAATTAATGCTTTTAAAGTTAAATTTTTTCTCGTTTATTACATATTATGTCTCTTATGAATACAATATTTTTTTATAAAGTGTTAATGAATTTATGTTAATCAATAAATTTACATTTTTTGAAAATTATACATAAATAATGAGTACTTTATTTTGCTAACAGATTTTACTTTAATAAAAAATTATTTAAACATTCAAATATATATATATATATATTTATATTAGTAAACTAATAATTTATTATAATATAAATAAAATTGATGATAACATCATTTTGAAACAACTCTTTATTGTCCCCAATATTACAGTCAACTGTGTCTTAATGTTTTGCAACTGTAGTTCATAAGCCTCTGGTCTGTCATCTATTTTCAGATTCAATTGAGAATTGGGTTTTTAATGTACGAGTCTTCACTAAATGCATGTGTTTTTTAAATATAAGGCGCGCCCATCCCTTGTCTGCCATTGCATTCAATAAAAACACGACTTTTCTAAATAAATTACCTCTAAATTAACGAAGACTTCAATTAATGTTTTATACAATATGTTTGCAGAATATGAATGAATGAATGAATGAATGAATGTAAAGGCAGAGAAAGAAAGGAGAGAGAGAGAGAGAGAGAGAGAGAGAGTATTAAATAAGTTATAAATTGTGTTTTATTGCAAAATTAGCTAAAGATTTTTCTATTGTAAAGTAGAGTACCATTGGGTATGTCTGATAGGGAATAGCCTTTAATGCCAACTCTTTGAAAATGTTTGCCAGTCTATTGTTTATGGGCTCTATTTTGGCACAAAATGGCAAATCATTTCCAAGTATTTATAGTTTGCAATAGCAATACTTATATATAAAAAAAAGTTTTGCATTTTAAAAAATTTTGAAAAAATGTTTCTCTCTTTATATTCCTCGAGAGACTATTTTTGTGCAAAAGTTTTTTATGAAAAAAGCCTTTAAAAGCATTTATGTGTTGTTCTATGATATCTCCCAAATGAAATGCAAATACTGGTCGATATTATGAATATGTTTTCATATAAAATGTTTATAAACTAATACCAAAATCTAATGTTTCAAAGCAATGATATGTTGTGTTATGAATCAACAAAAAATTATAAACTTTTGATAACTTTAAAAAATTTCAAACTTATAAAAATCGTGAATCAAATAATACACTAACATTGGACTCACAAACAGTGATGCACTGTATGTCTGTCTCGTCTATGACTTTCAATCCCGGCTTCTGTCGACTCTTTCCTATTCATTCCTTTCCTTTAAGCCCTTACTCTACTGTACTGTCATTTTGATTAAATTTACGCTTTCGTGATCTGAAAGACTTTAAAAAATTGTCAAAAGTTATGGCAAATCAAAATCAAAACAACGCTTCGAAAGAGAGAGAGAGAGAGAGAGAGAGAGAGAGAGAGAGAGAGAGAGAGAGAGAGAGAGAGAGAGAGATAAAAAATTCAATCACTATATGATATTTTATGTACAAAAATCTAATATATATCACATATAAAATTAATCTTACGATATATTTGTCGATTGAGTTAAACAAAGTGAACACTTTATGGCATTGCAATCCTTATGGCAATCATTCACATGTTATAAATCTATAGAAATTTCCTAATACTCTGACCTAACACTAAAATATTGAGTGACTGAGTCCATGAAATAAGCAATTGATATCTCATTGTATGTCTTTTTTATAGTTTTTGGACATTGATTTTTTCACTAATTTTTTAGTAAACTTATATCTGTCATATTTTTAAAAAATGACTAAATTTTCAGACTAATTAACATATTAAAGTTAATGTTAATAAAATAATATTAAATATTATACTATTTATTTATATTTGTTTGCACATAACATTAAAATTATTAAATTTTATTTACTATATGCGTATTGACTTTAATATGAGATCACATTTTTTAATAGCGTCTATTATATTGTCAAATAAATTATAAAATTACGTATTTAAATGTCAATCAAACTGTTAAAACAAAAAATCACTTCATAAACATAAATGATTAACATTATAAAATCATTACTAAATTTATTTATCATAAAAAACTAAATTAGATTTAATGACATAATATTCTTGAAATGAAAAATTAGGAAAATTTTATATTTTGTAAATATATAATATTTACAGTAAAACATAATAATAATATACATACTTAATATGTCTACTGTGTATTCAATCAAATTTTTTAACACTAAGTATACCATATTGTAAATTATATACAGTATATACACTACATATACAGTATTATACAATGTATTAACAGTATATTAATACGATTATAACTTTCATATATTTGAAAATATTTGAAATTTTAATAAAACATTTAATTAAACATTTGTTTCAATAATCAATAATTTATATTTTAATTTTGCTATATTCTATATTAAGATTTTTTTATAAGTTAAGTAATTTATATAAACGATAGTATTTTTTTATTTAAATTAAGTTCATTATAATACAGTATATACTCAATAGACTTTTGAGCTAAACTAATGATATTGAACTTATTTATTTGAAAAAAGAAACTAATTTACATTTAAGATTTAAAAATAAAATACTGTAATATTGAAAGTTAGCATATTTAGTATCAAATCACAACATTATATAATTGTATACTAAAAATAATTAAAGTAATATAATGTTTAAATGTATCAATCTATAGAAAAATTCATTGATTCTGTAGAATCTTTTTTTTGTTCATAAAGTTATAAAATATTTATTTAAAATTATTTTTAAAGAGAAAATACTTATGAATACTAAAATTAATGATCTTTTGTTTAGATAATATCGCGAAAAGGATTTTAACACAATATTGTTACAGAAAAAACACTTTTTAGATATGAAACGTATTAAATATAATTTTATCAATTTATTTGATTAACAATCAATGTCTAATAGACATTATCTATGCGGCATTTAAACTATGTATTAGTAAAAATGTTTAATAAAATCATATTATGTACGCATTATTAGATATTTAGACAACTTTTTAAAAATATTCATTAATTTATTAAAACAGGTAGTTAAAACTAATTATTGTGTGGGTGTTAGATTTTATACATTGAATAGTAGTTTTTAAAAAATATTTATACTATTATTATTGCAAATTACAATTTGTATTTTAAAATTTAAATATATTTTAATTTAATAGAATATTACATTTTATTATTTAATAATTTAATGCAATTTAATTCAATTTATCGGTAATAGCCTAAAGTTATATTGAAATTAAAAACTAATAAATTTAAAAATGTTATTTTGAATTTATAATTCACTAAAAACTTGTAATATAAGATTTTTTTTTATTTTTAAAGATGAAATAAGTTAACAGTAATAAACACATCTATTTCTTAGATATGTTTAATAAACCAATAATTTATGAAACATTACATCAAATAATGTGTTAGTATATATAAAAACTTATATAAGTATTGATAATAATAGTTTATAAGTACTACATTTTTCTAACAAATTTACTTACATTATAATAATCTGCCAAATATATAATATACTATATACACAATTTTATATGTTTTATGTGTGTATTTTATAATTTATTCTAAAAATTAACTAAATTGCACACAAATTTAGACCACAATTCAATTTAATGAGTTTAGTTAGAAAGCTCATAAATTTTCATTATTTCTAATTCAAGCTTTTAAATAGTTTACACTTTCATATTATTCACAAAATATAACATTTTATATATAAAAAATATTTTGACATAAATAAAAATAATAAAATTAATAATAAATAAAACTTTACTGTAAATTAATACTTGAAATATATATTGTATATATTTTTGGTATAATTGATATTTTGATTTAAATATAATAATTATAATTTTTTAAATTTATTAAATAAACATATTGTTTATATATTAGTCTGAAATTTTTCTAATTTATAAAGTACTGTATATATATATATATATATATATATACGAAATATATTATAATTGTTTTTTATAAATATAATGTTTAATTAATTTTTAATTTACTAATTTTAGGTCAAACATTATTAATGTTATTTAGTAATTGTTTGTAAAACTTTTTCAATTCATACAACTGTTTCAATGCAATGTTTTAATGCTATTATTAATGACATCAATAGCACATCAGTGATCAAAACATCCACATAAAGAATATATTGAAATCGTTGTAAATATTTACAATATCTTTGAATACATTAACCGATGATATCGTGTCTTTAAAAGACATTAAATTGTGTCAATTTTTGGCATTTATTCAATGATTTATTTATATAGAAATCATCAAAGTTTTTCTAATAAATATAGATAAATCTTAATTGCATGAAATCATCATTTATTATACAGTATTACTAATTGTTTGGCTATATTTCATACCCAAACAATATTAGACGCTTTATTTGACAATTTTTTGGTCAATTGTGCGAATTGATCGATGAAATTATTTTTATTGATTGTGATAAACATATTAATTTTAAAATTAGTTAATCGTTTCAATTGATTGATTGCTGACACGATTGTCAATATCGGTCAACAGTTTCACTTCATTGGTCTCCAATGTATATCGCTATTTGTGTAACATTTTGGACACTTCTATAGCGATGATCCCATATATCGGGCAATGTATATAAAAAATAGTTTCGGATATCACACAACATTATGACGATAGTGTAATTCATGTATCGATTGATAGATAGTTTGTTGCCATTGCCGGGACACACACTCGTAGTGGAACCAGTCATCAAATTATGACCTATTGGTCGGTGATTTTCGGTATGTATCATATATACAGTATATTGTTTCCAGTATTACTAATTATATTAAACTATTTCGATAATATTGAATAATAAAAAACTATTAAAAAATTAAATTTAAAAGAATATAACATTGAAATACTGTATCAAATATTTGTTTGTAACAAATTAAATGATAAATTTGTGATAAACAAGTAATTAATAATCAATAAAATGTTGTTCAACTAAAACTTTTTCACATTTGATGACAACAATATACTGTATTAATACTTATTAATAGTTAATATAAATTTATAAATTATAATATTCAATATACAGTATATTAAAATTTCCAGTAAAATGAAACTTAATAATTGACAAAACATTTGAAAATCACCATGTATGTTTATTACTAACTTTATATATATAGATAATCAATGTAATTAAACAATATATAAAATTGTAAATATGTATAATCATTTTTTAATCATTTTTTAATCATTTTTTAATCATTTAAATTAGTTTCACTAATTAAATTAACTATAATCTAATTGTTTGCAATGTATTGTACTTATAATAAATCAAAAGCTTATTAGTTAATTAGAAACAAAAATAAAGTTTTTTTTAAGTAATAAAAAATGCATTAAAAATTATGAAAAATTAAATTTATTAACAATTAATAAATTAGTTATAATAATAAATAAATAAATTTTTTATGTTTGAGACAATCGGTGGTCAAAACAGAGCAATCAATGGTACAAAAAACTCAGTCTTTCCAATACATTGAACGAAAAGATGTGTGGATTCAGTGGTGAACTCTATCGCCAAATGTCTTGACTTACCATTGAATGGCATTCAAGTGATAATTATTGCACCACTTCTTTGATTCGCTCGACTGATTGAACTGTTTTGTATATCCGTTGGCAAACATGTCTTCCGTAATGATGGCCACAATCGGACAACTTATGAGAAGTGGTCAAAGAGATGAAGAGTATATGAGTCGACTGAATGAAGAGCTCAACCAATTGATTCAATACTGGTTTGGAGTCAGACATTGGGTTCAGTGGAGACACCATTTGCCGCAATTGTCTCAATTGATCTACTATTTGATGACCACATTGTCTGGATTGCAGACATTGGGCGAAGAATATGTTAATATTGTCCAAATCGATGGCAATAAGATAGCTGTTCCTAAACTTTTAAAACGTTTTGTCACAATTATCGGTCAGATATATTGTCCATTTCTGATATCAACGATTGTATCTAAAATAAGTGATTATATCCAAAACAATGACATCGTTAGCAATACTTACAACAGACAACAGTTGTTGAAATATTTACCAATTGTTGAGGAGTCGTGTCAACTGATCCAAAGAGTTCATACAATTTTGTTTTATTTAACTGGAAGTTACTATTATTTGTCCAAAAGAGTTACTAATATACGCTATATATCTCCAAACATTGGAGTCACTGCGGGAACTGATAGTTCGCATACCATCTACAAGATTGTCGGTTACTTAACACTATCGCAACTATTAGTCTCTCTTCTACTGAAATATCAGTCTTACAAAAACTCTTCGATAAATCCAAGCGATAAGTCCAGCGATGAAACAGACAATAATTGTAAGACAACATCATCTGACTGTCAGTCTCGGGAACCGTTACTGAATGTCAGCCACCGGTGCTCATTGTGTCTGGAAAAGAGAGATCAGACAACGGCCACCACTTGTGGTCATCTGTTTTGCTGGAAATGTATCACTGAATGGCTTCAACTGAAGAATGAATGTCCACTTTGTAGACAACCATTAGAGCCGTCGCGTATTGTTTTGTTAAACAATTATTATTGATTTATTATGTATTTTAAAAATCACTAAAATTTGATTTATATTTTTCTTAAATATTTATAATAATCTCATGTAATATAAAAATATTTGTAATTAAGTTAAACAATAAATCCGAGAGCAATAAAAAGTTATAATAATTATATTAATTATATAATATAAATGTTTTTTTTAAAATAATTTTTTACTCGAAATAATTTTATATCAAAATTATACTCAATTTAATTAAACTTTATAATGTTATCGTAATGATGCAAATTAAGACATTGATATAATTAAAAAAAGTATTTAATTATACAAAATTTGATTAATATTACAGTGTATTATATTTACAATTTATTAAAATCTCATTTCTCTATGTTTTATAAAACTATATATAATTTATCTACTATTAAGTACAACAAACTGTAAATTTTGTCAAAATTGACTGTAATTTTTCAACAATAAAAATTAATATAATCTAATTTTAAATCATATAATTATATAGTCATATACAGTATTTATTATTAAATTAATATTAATTGATTTAAATTAATTATTTTTTTGTAAATTTAATTTATCTTAACATTGAACTGTCAAATGAATTGATTGATTGATTTTAAAGTTTTTCAACAAAATGTTGACGTAATTTATGAGTGAATATATGTTTTGTTGTGATGACAGCACAGTCTATGTTATGTTGTGTTCAGTAATAATGTCGCAAATGTCTGCCTATTATTAGTGTTATTAATACAGTATTATATGATTGTTGTTGTCATAGATTTAAGTGTTTTTATTAGTCATAGCTTTGATGTCGACTCAGTTGTTGTTATTGTCTGACAACTGATCACTCATTTATCAATTGAAGACTTATTTGTTTTTGACATTTGTTTGTCACCACAACTCATCTAATGATTGTCTGATTCAATCCACTGGTCTTCAGTGGACACGGAATCTCCGCGGATTTGAAGAGAATTGGGTTTTCCTTTCATTTTTGTGACTATTTTTATACCACCGAAGACATTGATTGCGGATATAAATGAATAAATTGCCGAAATTGACGCTSAAATCGGGCACTACTTGTCAACAGGAGAGACAACACCAAAACCAGACACAACATCCACTATTGTCTCCGCATAACAACCCGAATGTGAATCATCCGCTCAGTCCTAACGGCAGCTACGGTCCGGTCAAAGGGATAGCACAGCCCTATTCGCCACCGCCATCGCCCACCCATACATCCAACACTACTAATGTGTCGGTACAGACACCACTGTTATCGGGACCCGAAGAGACTGCTGATCCCAATTGGCAGGCATTTAAAAACAGTGTTCGCGAGAGAAATGCCGCGATGTTTAATAACGAACTCATGAGTGACATTCTGTTTATTGTCGGCCAAAAAGGTTCAAACAGTGGTCAACAGCGAATCCCGGCCCACAAGTATGTGTTGGCCACCGGGAGTTCGGTATTTTATGCAATGTTTTTCGGCGGACTCGCTGAAGAAAAGGCAGAGATAGAGATCCCGGACGTCGAGCCGTCGGCTTTTCTCACATTATTGAGGTTTGTATTTGTTTTTTATTCATAATTTTTTGGTAATTTTTTAATATTTATTTTGTATTCATTTAAATATAATTATTTGCATTTTTTCAATATATTTTTTGTCTTTAAAAGAAGTATTGCATAATTTTTGACCCAATTTTCATATAAAAGGAAAAAATCCTTTTTCTTTTATTATATCATTAATTCAAATAAATAGTTATCTATTCAGTCATTTCAGAGAAATTTATATAAAATATTTTTTCCATATAATAAATAACATTTTACTTAATAAATAATTTTATTTGTTTTTTCGGAATTATAATATACATTAAGACTAAAACAAGTAATTTTTTATTACTGAATAAATTAAATCATTTATTTAAAATGTAGTTTTATGAAATTTTCTTTAAATATGTATTTTATTTTATTTTTTAAACATTAAAATTTATAAAATGAAATATTTGTTTTAAAAATAATAGATGTCAATCTAAAAATGACCTAAAACTTGTGTCACTTTAATAGTTATTTAAACTATATTATAATTGATGTTATGTTATGATTATATAAAATTAAAACTATGAAATTTAATTACAATAGTACAGTAACTTTACTAACGAAAGAAAATTTAACAATATTTAATTGAATGGCTTTTTAAGGGAAACAGTTAATAGGTTTAGATTTTTCAATTTTGAAATATTATTAATATGGGATACTTTTTACATTTAATAAATGAAATATCAAAATTTACGATAATTTATTTTTATGCAATAAATAAATAGATATCTATATTGTGACGACATATGTCTTGAAGCGGACAATGTGTTGGCCAGTCTATACGCGGCCAAGAAATATCTGGTACCCCATTTGGCCCGATCTTGTGTCTCATATCTGGAAACAAGTCTTACTGCCAGAAATGCATGCATTTTATTGAGTCAAAGCCTTTTGTTTGAAGAGCCGGATCTAATGCAGAGATGTTGGGAAGTGATTGATGCTCAGGCAGAGCTAGCACTGGCATCAGATGGTTTCGTTGAAATTGATTTCCAGACACTCGAGTCTATTCTCTCTCGGGAAACATTAAATGCCAAAGAGGTTTGTTTTTATTATTATTTTTTATTAATAAATTATAATTTTAATTCAATTTTTTAGTTATCTATATTTTATGCGTCTCTTTTGTGGGCTAATGCTGAGTGTCAACGAAGAGAATTGGAGATTACAGCCGACAATCAGCGCAAAGTATTAGGAAAAGCTTTGTTTTTGGTTCGCATACCAGCCATGAGTTTAGAGGACTTTGCTAACGGACCGGCACAGAGTGGACTTCTCACACTTCAGGGTACTTACCATTTATTATCAATTTGTCTATAAGTAAACTAATCAATAGTTTTTCTTTCTTAGAAACAACTGATATATTTCTTAACTATACGGCTGCTGTAAAACCAGTTCTTGAATTTCCAACAAAACCACGACTCGGATTACGAGTTCAAATATGCCACCGCTTCCAGTCATCTGCATATCGAAGCAATCAATGGCGTTATAGAGGCAGATGTGATTCAATACAGTTCAGTGTCGATAAACGTATTTTTGTTGTGGGATTTGGACTCTACGGCTCATCTAATGGTGCGGCAGACTATAAAGTCAAGATTGAATTGAAACGAATGGGAAAAGTTTTGGCAGAAAATCAGACAAAATTTTTCTCCGATGGTTCAAGTAATACATTTAACGTGTACTTCGAGCACCCGATTCAGATCGAAGCCGACACTTTCTACACAGCATCAGCCATATTGGATGGCCAGGAGCTGAGCTATTTTGGACAGGATGGGCTCACCGATGTTACTATCAATGGCAACATAACGTTCCAATTCCAGTGCAGTTCCGATAGTACTAATGGTACCGGTGTTCAGGGCGGACAGATACCTGAGATTATCTTTTACGGTCCAATGTCTCATTCGTGAAACATTTTCCTTAAATCATTGACTAACTAATCCATTGAATTTCAAATGCAAATAAGTTTCTATTCTTTAGTCATTTATGTAAATAATAATATACTTTATAACTACCGGTAAATATTAACTTTCTAATTGTATGATACAATTCAAATATGCATCAACTTTTGACAGATTTTTTTTTTAATTAGTTTAGTCTAGTTTTTAATCATTGACAACAATTATAGTAATAAAAATTGGTTGTAAATTATAGCATAATTATGTCTAAATACGCAATTAATATACCGTATAATGTAAATGAAATTACTCGCATATGATATACCGATACAGTATATATAATATATATATCTTTATTAATAATAATAGTTATACAAAATAATAAGTTAATGTCTTTCAAAATAAACTAAAATCCAAATCAACTAAATATATTAAAAAACAATTTCCTCTTTTTTGAACTCATTTTTTATTTATTTGAAAATAAGATCTCAGAAAGTGATGAATGTCTAGAAAATCATACCTCAAAAAAGCAAATAATAAAAACTTAATACAAGACACAAAAGACAAATGGATTAGTCATTTGTATTATCGTTTGTGTCGTTTAGGTCTGGTTTGGAGGACATTCAAGAACTTTCCTCTCGTCATTTCTCGGGCCTCTTCGAGTCCCAACTGATACGACAAGTTCTGCAACTCTTTAACCTTCTCGAGCAATGCCGACGCCGTTAGCGATCCGAAGCCGTGCAACATATTGATGTCATCGGGATCTAAGTCTGTCAACCATTCGCTGGTCTGACTTTTCTGGTCAAACAATGGCGGCGACGAGTTGGCCAAAAACTCGGTTACTCCCGGAACTAACAAAACAATTGATTAGTCAATCATTTGATGGACAAACAAAAAATGGTATCAATTAGACAAAGACATACTCTGTTCGGGCCAGAGATCGGGTGACGCTCTGTCCAGACGTTCTTCGCTGAGAAGCAGATCTTTCTCAAAGTCTGTGCCATTCAAAGACATTTCCAAATCTATAGGAAATATATAAATGATTTCATGATATTATAATCACTTTGCATACCATTGTTGGTCACTGTTGTGTGTGAAGTGTTTGCGGCAATTGTTTGACGATTTGTATCAATTGATGCCATATTTGACAACAAATTATTTCAAATCATTTATTTATTTTTGTTTTCTATTTATACTATATTTTCAATAATTGACTCAAAATTTTCACACAATTTTTGAATTCAATTTTCACTGCATTTTCAATACATAATAATTTTTGCAACTAATTTGTGCCTTTTTATAGACTACAATCATGAGTATAAATCAGTGTTTTGTATATAATCATAAATTGGCACAAATTGTTACTCAATAAAACTCAAAACACATTGTTATATAATAAACATAAACAGCGTTTGTATTAATAATTCAAAAGTAAACGTCATTTTTGTCGTATGTTTTGATGATTTGGCCGATCGTTGGACTCAACAAAACATAAAAACGTGTAATCAATTAATCGGTAATTAATCGGTAATTAATCGGTAATTAATCGGTAATTAATCGGCAAAAATGTTGGACAACTTGTCGTCGCTGTCATCCTATGAACCGTTCATCTCATCCACAGTTTACCCACATTTGAGTCTTTTGTTTCTATCGATTGGTGTCTTGTTTATGGTAAGAATGAGTCAAATGAATTGACCACAAAGTGCCGGTCAGATAATTGGTCAGTCATTGAATAATATATTGGATCAGATATGATGACTAAACCAATTGTCCGATTACTTGCATATGTGGTGATTAAATATTTTAATTCATGTCTTTTAATGTCTGAAGGCCTGGTTCTTCACTCTCGAAGTTACCACAAAATCGTCGTCAACTCTATTGAAAGAGTTGACGACATCACTGATTGGATCCACTTTTATCGGTTTTGGTACAGTTTTTCTTCTTCTTTGGGTCGGAATATACGTGTGACCACTAATATGGACACGACATGAGTGGACACCGATATTCATAGCAATTTATTCAATATTTTTATTTGTATTGTTTTTATTTAATTATTATAATTGAAGACTAATGTAATTAACCAAAAAAAGATATAATGTATTCATAACGTTATGTATTTGGATAAAAAAAAATTATTAATAAAAAAAAGTATTTCATAATTTAATTGACTGAAAATTACGTTTTTGTTATTCAAATAAAAAACAATAAAATATTTCCAGTTTTTTATAATTTAATTTTATTGTTTTTTTCTCTATATTTAAATTTATCTTTTTTTTCTGCTGCTTTCACTAATTGCCGCAAACTATTAAATGCATGAAAAAATAAATTTATGAATAAATAGTTATAATTAATAGGATATTTAATTAAAATTATATACATTATTATATTATATATTTTTATTGCATTCAATTATTATTATTAGCTTTAATGAGTGGTTTTTATTATTGTTTTAATCCATTAAAAAACCATTAATTAAATTAATTTCTTTGGTTTCGCTTCTTTCCAATTGATTTCACATTTGAGACGACTTTTCAGATAATTAAGACATACGTCTCTGTCCTTAACTGACGGCAAATCAAATAATTTGAGATATTTTAGATTTCTGTCATTCAATAAAAAAAAATTATCAAATAATAATTGTCTGATTATTGTCCCTAAAAAACACCAAAATCTTACTCTAATTGTGTCAAAGAAAGGATTCCCTTATCTGTAACTCCAATACAACTAATTATCTCCAAATGTCTTAAACCCTGTTTACAAATGCCTAACATTTCAATAGCCGAGTCCTCAATGTAACCATTGTTGGCAATAATAAATTTGTCGAGTTCTTGGAGACCATCTATTAATTGAAATAATTAAATGGTTTACAAATATTGACAAATGTCTTAAATATGATAAATACTGAGATGACTAAAGCCTATGTGTGAAATTGCAGAGTCCGTGGCGTCGATCTCTTTAATCTTTCTTTGCATGTCTTCAGTGGCTAATATGTTATAATCTTTAACCCAATTATTACCGTTAGTCCACTTAACCGCCGCTCCATTCTTGATCAACCATTCGGCGGCCGCTCTGTCGGCTCCGACCGCTTCAATACGTTGCGGGTCTGGTCTGTCATACAAAAGACATCAATTAAAAAGAGGATTTAAAACAATCGATGAATACATGTCTTACCTGTTGAAGACATTCATAAGCCATCCCCAGATATGTCTCTCATTAGTTGATCTCTTCACCAATTGATGGGTCAATCGTTTGAACAAAACAGACATCAAATTCAATCTAAAAATTTGTTTCTATAAATAAAATCAATAAAATCTAACAAATAATTTGCAAATCACAAGACTGTTAATTAAAATTTATTATAATTAACATAAAAAACTAATTATAAATGTTTTAAAATCAATTGATAGTGTATTTAAGCGATGACTTTGAATGTATTCAAACATTGCATAACAATATTGTTTTGTCAATTAATGTCAAAATAACAACACATTGTATGAGAAGTAAGCTTTGAGGGGCTTTCCAGCAGTCAGTCAGTCAGTCTCATCACTAACTCATCACTAAAATTGATCAAAACTTTCATCACTAACTAATTAAGGGATATATTTAGTTAAAAAAATAAGTAAAAAAATAACATAATCTATAATTTTGAAATAATTGTATCAAATAAAAAATAAGAAAAATAATTAATTAATATGCATTCAATATACAGTATACTTATTGACATTTTAAGTATACTGTAAATGTGTAATAAAATAAAATTATTTTTTATTTATTTTTTAAATTATATATTTATATATTTTACAAAATAATGAAAATCTCCTCCCGCTTTGGGAGTTGTAATAAATATAAATAAAAATTATGACAAAATAATTTTGCAAACAATTTATTATTTTTAAAGTTTATATGTATTTTAATATTAAAAATTGTATTTTTTAATATACATTGCTTTTACTTAAAAATTGTTATTAGTTTTTTATTTTTGTTTTTTACTATGCAATGCAATAAAAATAATGATTAAATAAAATTCTTTATGTTATCAATTAAATCCACAAAAAATTGTGTTCAAATCTTTTAGTGCTATTATAAACGCATTTTTCAAAATTTTTGTTTGTTTTTTCTCTATATTTTTATTATAAGGTGTTATTAACTGTTTTAACATTGAAATCTGAAATCATAACATTTTTATTTTTTGTTGTTTGGCTTAACACTCAACAGAAAAAAGTAGTTATATTTGAATTAGAAAATAATTAGATTTAATCAAATGAAAAAAATCATACAATAAAATGCATACAAAATTGAGTGAAAATAGTAGAATTTTGGTGGATATGTTTTAATTAATAAATAGTAGATTTAAAAAAAATAAGATTTAAAATAAAATAAAGTTTTCAATCACTGTATTTACTGGTCGACAATAAGGCTAAAACCGCACCCAATCCGTGCACTTTGGGATGTGATTTGCATAATCCACAAGAACTTCCACAAGAAAGATATAGACGACAACTCAAGGCGTATATCAATTGATGACAACCTTGAGGTCCTTATTCTTGTATTATTCAAATACAATCGGACTTCTGGTTCTTCAGTAGAGCTGACGTCAGATAATAATTTGATATATAAAGTGATTCAAAACTTTCGATTCTTTCAATCAGTAATTGGATTCACTATTAAATTGTTTATAAAAACAAAAAAATCCAAAAATAAAATATGAAATACTTTGCAGTCTTAGCCGTTGCTATTGTCGTCTGTGTGAACGCCAATCCGCATATCGTGAATACCGGATCCTCAGCGGTCTCGCGTCAGGACGATGTAAATACATTGATATAAATTGATTTTTAATTATAAATTATAATAAAACTTAATAAATATATTAATTGTTATGTTAAGGGTCACGGCAACTATGCTTTCTCCTATAAGGAGAATCACGCCAGCGGTGGTACCTTCAGACAAGAGAAAGGAGGACACGGAGGAGTAGTTGGTTCATATGGTCTCACCGATCACGACGGCAGACACCGAGTTGTCAACTATGTTGCCGATGCCCATGGATTCCGTGCTGATGTCAAGACCAACGAACCAGGTGTCGACCCTAAACAAGATCCGGCAGCCGTTAGCATCAATGGAGGACATTACGGTTGGTCAACATATTTATAATTTGTAATAACATATATTAATAATTTCTAATTCTTAATATACAGCTATCTCTGAACCGGTTAAGATTATTTCCGGACCCGCCTTGGGTTACGCTAATGCTGAGTACGGTAGTGCTTATGGTGGACACGGTTACGGATACGGTCACGGTTACGCTGCTGGTCCTAGTGCTTATGGTGTGCATATCAACCATGCCTCCTACGCTGAACCCGCCAAAGTGATAGCTGTTGGTTATGGTGGTTATGGCGGTTACGGTCACGGAAAATGGTAATCAACTCAATGGCAAAAAAAACTTTAGGCTAATTTGGATCAAACTTTAAACTATAGTAATATGTATTATATCTATGCTTATAATATAATTTATAAATAGTTTTGCATTCACTTCAATTCAATTTGTGTTCAATTCAGTTCACTTTTTAATATATTAATATAAATTTTATTTATGTTTTCTTTTTAATAATTTTAAATAAGTTATAAATTTATTGCATTTTATATTTGTTATACAATTTGTGCACTCAATCAAACAATACTGAAATATGTAATTTAAATAAATCTATTTTAGAGAAAAACAGTTTATCAACTTTTTTTGTAAGTTTTTTATACTGTAAAAAAGTTATGTAATGATAAATCTGTTTTAATTTAGTTGTCATTATTTTTATGTCCATTCAATAAATCACTTGCATTCCTATATTTTTTGTTACTTTTAACCCCAATTTTGTGTTACACTGCAATAAATATCAATTGATATAAAAATATGCAACAATTGAGTTCAAGTTTATGTACAGTATATTATAGCCAATAAAGCCTTACTTACATTCATTGAATGCCTGTAAGCTATTTAATCCTATCATTACTTTACATAATTGAAATATTTGTATACAAACCCAAATGTGCTACAACTATCATTAAATTAACATAAGTTATAATAATCTCATAATTTTTAGTTGTTTTCATAATTTAAATGATATATAATAAGTTTAGCACATTTTTTTTGATTGGATAGACATTAGCTACTCTTGCTTTTAATAATGATGAATACTATAAATTATAGTCTATAATGATAAAAGTTTATCAATAGCATTGCATTTACGGTAATCTATATTTTATTTTATTTGTTAGAAAATTTTTGATACAATATTTCAAGTGTTGTAAATTAGACATTCAATCACTTGTTTTAATGTATAAAATAAATTTTATTATTAACTTACAACAACAACAACAAAAATATATATAAATTTATAACATATTAAATGTTAATTTATAGAAAATGATAAAATATAACAAAAAGCTCATTACATGATTCAATAAGATATAGTATTTCAATATTATTCAGATATTAAATTTCAATAATAATAAAATGTCAAAATAAAAAATCAGATCAATTTTGGCATCAATTATATGATTGAATTGTTTTATATTAACAAATTATTTCATAACTGGGAAATTAGTGGCAGCTTTGTCTGAATGGTGTTCCGGTGACCACAATTGAGTTACAGTTTTAAGTTGGGTGTAAAAGTTTAGACCCTTTAATAATAATAAAAAATAAAATTAATTATTTTTACATAAATTTTTAACAAAAACAAAAACTCACAGCTTTTCCATAGAAATTATAGTCACCGAGGAATGAGCCACGACTTCCAGTAAACGAGAACATTGGTAACGGCACTAAAAAATGGACAGTTACCGGTAATTAGCTGTTTACATACATATTCACAATAGTACTGATATATAACATATACCTGGAATGGGAACATTGACTCCAACCTGTCCCACATCAGTCTCGTGTGTGAACTTTCTAGCAGTTGCACCGTTGGTCGTAAAAATAGCTGTTCCGTTGCCGTATGGATTAGAATTTATTACATCAATGGCTTCATCTATAGTGTCGACATTCAGTGTTATCAAAACGGGTCCAAAGATCTCTTCTTTATAGCATTTCATATCTGGCCTAACATTTGTCAGAATAGTGGGTCCAACAAAGTTTCCGCTTTCAAAACCGGAAACTTTAATATTACGCCCGTCGAGTGCCAACTTAGCGCCCTCTTTGACACCGCTTTCTATAAGAGAGCAAATTCTCTGTTTGGCTTCTGGAGAGATAACTGGTCCCAAATCGGTGTTAGGCACGTGTCCGGCATTGACTTTCAATTTCTTTGCTCTTTCCACTAAATCATTCACCCATTCTTTGGATTCGCCTACAAATATAGCGGTAGACAAAGCCATACAGCGCTGTCCTGCGGCACCAAAGGCAGCGCCGGCCAACTGATTGAGTGCATGCTCTTTACTGGCGTCCGGCATAACCACTCCGTGATTTTTAGCGCCCATATTTGACTGGACACGTTTACCATTTTCCGAACCTCTATTGTATATGTATTTTCCGGCCACATCTGAGCCGACAAATGATATGGCTTTGATTTTCGGGTTATCGCAGATAAAGTCTACAGATTTATGCTGTCCATGAATAACATTGACAACACCCGGAGGAATGCCAGCCTCTTCTAAAAACTCCATAAGAATCATAGCGGCTCCGGGATCTCGTTCTGATGGCTTTAACACAAAAGTATTGCCACAAACCAAAGCTAAGGGGAACATCCAAAGTGGAATCATTGCGGGAAAGTTGAATGGAGTTATGCCTTGTTTTCACAATTTGTATACAATTAACAAATCTATTCAATAAGTCAACCTATCCTTTAAAATACCGGCGCAAACTCCTAATGGCAGTCTGTATGACATAGTGTCCATGTCTTTAGCAATTGATGGCAGTGTTTCTCCCAACAGAAGTGATGTCACACTACAGGCGTGTTCGACCACTTGTAAGCCACGGAAGACATCTCCTTCGGCATCGATTGTGGTTTTTCCCTGTTCTTCGGTAATGCTGTCCGTCAATCGTTTCTATAAATATTTTTATTTTATTTTTTTTTGGTACAAACTATCACCAAAAACCAACCAAATTCTGTTTGATAAGTGATTGCAATTTAAACATAGTTTGTTGTCTCGTAAGAACTGATGTCTTGGACCACGTCTTAAATGCATTGTCTGCAGCATTGACTGCCGCTTCCATTTCTGAATCGGTACTCTTCGGTACCCGAGTGACCACTTCATTGGTGGCCTATATATTAGTACAAGTTATAATGACAGCTGTGTCTTAATTTAGATATTGTTTTATATTATATTTGATTAAATTATTTCAAAACAAAAAAGACAAGAATATTATAAAATAATTACCGGATTTTTCACATCAATCCAGTCATTGGTTTTCGATTCAACAAACTTTCCGTTTATAAAGAGTTTTGTAGTCTTCTGGAAGTTTAAAAGACAATTGTATTTATAGACAATAATTACTATTATTATCTTCAGACTAGAAAAACAAGACTATTACCACATTTGATGACAAATAACGCAAAGACACAAAGTTTGGACACAGAATTCGTGTCTTTGGAACCAATTTTGTGATGAAATGCATGTCTTTTATTATAATTATAATTATGTATTAATACTACTAATTGTGGGACCAATTAATACAAGAGATGTTTGTCGTTAACAACAGTCTGTGGTATATCTGTCTGAATAGTCAACTGAATGGCATTGAAGTCGTCAGTTGTCTGGTTCTGTTGGTGTCATCAGAGATGAGATCTGTTTTTGTTAGGGAAAGCCATTCTCAAGGATAAGGGCTTTACATAACTGTCCTCACAATCCTGTCCCCACCAACTAATAGCTTACAGTTTATATGAATGGCTCCACACATGTATTGCATAGAATTTTCCAGATTTTACACTAAAATTACTTTTAAAACTCTAATTGTTCACAAATGTCGTACACTAAATAAAGTTATCTTTTTGACCCTATTTTTGGTTTTAAATAAATAAATTTTTTCAAAACAAAATGTTTTAAAACAAAATAAATAAAATTAAATACAATTAAATTTATTATAAATATTGTTTTAAAAAAGTTAAACTAATTATTTAGATTATTATTATTTAATATGAAATATATGAAACTTTATGTAACATTTGCCCCAAAAATGTTTTTTTTGTAACTATTTTAGTGAATGAATTGGTAATCAATGAGAGGAAACTTCTCGACACTTGTGTGTTGTGTTTGTCTATACATTGGATTATATTTTGTATCAAACCTTAAATCAATTGTTGGTCTAATATATTGAAACAGTGATTGAATTGAATCCAAACAAATCCAGTGATAGTATCTCATCAATAGTGGTGTCAAATAAGTGATAATAAATAGTAGTCAACAATACATACAAACATATCTGACATCTGATCGCAAAAGAAAACATTGTTTTCTATATCATATAAAAAAAACATCAATCAATCGCTTTTAATATTAAGTGTTTGGAACAACTATAGGTGATAATAGAGATGGCAAAGTGGGGCCATGGTGATCCCAGATGGATTGTTGAAGACAGACCCGATGCCACTAATGTGAACAACTGGCACTGGTTAGTCATTTAGTGTCACTACCGATGAACCACATTATTACCACTTTTTTTGTTTATAATCTTGTCTTAAATTTTAATAATTGTTTGTATTGTTTGTCAATCAGGACAGAGAAGAATGCCTCGCAATGGTCTAAGGATAAGCTGAATGAGTTGCTAACAAATTTCGAAGTGGATGAGCCCGGAGTTGGTTTGTGTCACATAACGAGTGTCGATAGTATCGATGGAGAAGCCGTGGCTAACAATAGGAAAGGAAAGTTGATTTTTTTCTACGAATGGGTTATAAAATGCCAGTGGAAGGGAAGGATCAATGGATCTGATGATGAAGTTAAGGGAAGTATTGAGATACCGAATCTTAGCGAAGAAAACAGTGCCGATGAGATTGATGTCAACATTTCAGTTGAAACACAAGAAACCGGTTCAGACATTCTTAAAGAAGTGATGCGAAAGAAGGGCACTGAACTGATTCGTAAACAATTGCAGACATATATTCTGCAATTAAGGGATGATTTTGCTAAAGATATGATAAAACCATCGAAACTTATGTCCGGCGGTAATATAAATGCTTTCAAAACGGAAAGTCAGTCAAAAATAGATGCGGAGAAGAAAAGTGAAGAAACAAAGACAAAGATGTCCTCATTTAATGGTATTACTAAAAAACCTGAAGACGAAAAATTTGAGACGACTTCACTCAAGTTTACTGAAGAACTGAAATGTATGGCTGAAGATTTTTATAGATCATTCACTGAAGTCGAGTTGATTCAGGCCTTTACAAGAGGTCCGGCCGTTGTGAACGCATCAGTCGGCGGTGCCTTTGAATTATTCGGTGGTAACGTTGTCGGAACGTTCACTGAATTAGTACCAAACAAACTGATTAAACAAAACTGGAGATTCAAGAGTTGGCCGTCAGAACACTACTCTCAGGTGACCATCACTTTGGACCAAAAGAGTGATTGTACTGATGTGACTGTCGAACAGTTGAATATACCGAAGCATGACTTCGAGCGCACCGAAAATGGCTGGAAATACCATTATTTTGAAAGTCTTAAGCGAACGTTCGGTTTTGGCGCTTCACTTAACTGACAACCGAATAGTTAGTTATTAGATATTTAAATCAATTTATAATTTAATTAAGACATTAATTTCAAGTTGTGTACAGTTTAAACACTCATAATATTAATAACAAAAAAAAAAGTAATACAGTTTAGCAAAAATGATATCATTTTAACTTAAATTTTAATCTAAAAAAATACTGAAATCCAATGCCATGTTTACGGTACTATATTTTTAAAATGTTGTTTCAATTTTTACTATATTATTATTATTTATTTAGTTATAAAATAAAATGTTATAATTTATACTTACCGGTAKTTTTTTTTAATACGGAAAATGTTTTTACCATAAATAATAAAAATGAAATAAAACTAAAATATTTCCGATAAATTTTGATAAAAATTGTATCAATTTTTTCATATAATCAGATCAATTGTTTTTTATCGATTTATTGAATCAAATCTAATAAAAATAATTAATTTTGTAATTTGTAAAAAATAATTAAAATTTTATTACAAATAATAATACAATTGATTATTTAGAGACCAAAGTGTTCGTCAAATTGTTGAGAACTGATGAGTCCTTTCTTTAATTTCTTAACCATTTTTGCGTCTTCAGCCAACTCTTGTATATCTAAATCATTAATGAACTCTTTTTTTCGTTTTCCCTTTAATTTAGTCTTTTTAATGAGTTCTGCATTTTTCGAGACGGGTTTTAAACGATTTTTATCAAACTTTTCTTTATTGGGATCTTTAGCTAAAAAGTTTTGTTGTTTAAAATTTTTGGCTATTCGTATGTCATCCGGTGATGTCTTAAACATTGAACTACCTCTCGGCCTATGCCTTAGCTCAGGCATTGCTGGCACTTTGAGTAAGGCATAACCGTTGGCGATATCATTGATATCTAATTTTTTATACAAAATAGTAGACATACAGTGCTTCGAGCTATAGGTTCTGATAAATGATACGAAGGCTTGCATTCCTAACTCATAATAAGTTTTATGTTTTCGCGACTCTTTTTTCATGAATTCAATGACATTATTCTTCAGATTTTTGTCAACATTTAGGTTAGTCTGCAATTGCTTTACATCGACACCCTTTGACTCACATAACTCAAGAAACTCCATTTCCGTTGGCAATACAATAACAAGAGTATTGCCGGTAACGCCCACCTGATGTCCACTTCGGCCGCATCGATGAACATAGTCCTCAATAGTGTTTGGCAAATCCAAGTGTATAACCCAATCGACTTGCGGTATATCGACACCTCGGCTCATGACATCAGTACATAAAAGTAAACCACTTTTACATTTACGAAATTCATCAAAAATCTTTTGTCGACTTTTCTTGAGTTTTCGATGTAATTTCAAAATAACAAACTGTTTGATCACTTTCTGTATGAATTTGGTGATGGGATTGGAAAAGTAGTTAACCTGAGCACAGGTAGACATAAATACTAAGTATTTGGCGTTTGGCTGTTGTCTCACAAGTGATATAACAAACGCTAACTTTTCTTCACACGAATCGAGACAAACATAATGGTTATGAAGTAATTGTGGCATTTGAAGACAATCACCACTGGCTGACTGATCAGTATATTTCTCTTTGATCTCAACTTTAACCGGATTTCTAAGTCCCGCTCTAATCAATTGATCCAATTTTTTKGTTTGAGTTGCAGAGAACAGACCAGTTCGTCGTTGTTTCGGAAGATAAGATAATATATTATTCAAAGCCGTCTCAAAACCCATACTGAGTATGAGGTCGGCCTCGTCTAAGACAAAAACTTCGAGACACTGTCGGACTCGACTGGCAAAGAGATCGCACTTCTCAAACATATCGCATAGTCGTCCCGGAGTTGACACCACTATATTAGCACCAATAGTCTTGTAACGGTCAATGTCCTGACCAACTGATGTGCCGCCAATCAGAAGCAGTCCTTTTAACGGAATATTTTTATTGTCGACAATGAATTGGTTGAGTACTTCATATATCTGTTGMGCTAACTCTCGGGTCGGACTCACGACAATAGCGCCCACATCTGTCTTCTTAATCGATTCGTTAGACGACTTCTTCAACAAAATATCAATAATCGGTATAACAAAAGCCAAAGTTTTGCCGCTACCGGTGACGGCCTCAACGGCACAGTCTTTGTTGGACACAAACAACGGTATAACTGCCGACTGGACAGCCGTCATGTGTGCAAACTTTAGTGACTTCTTGACCACTTTGATGATACATTTGTGGACATTCAATGTGCTCCACGACAAAGACATTATTGGTTTCAATGGTTATCAATCATATAATGTATATTAACTAAAACAAAAATATAAGATAATTTGATTATTAATTAAATTAAATTAAATTTTATATATCATATGTAACAATAGTTCCAATAGTACCATGCACATTTTTAAAAACATTATCACTATTATTACATTATGTTTTATATTGCGTTTACTGTTTATATACTCTATATATTTCAAGCATTGCTTTTTAATTTTGAAAAYATTAAATAACRTTTACCTTATAATATACACAAATAACAGTACAAATTATATCTAAAAAGTATTACTGAATAAAAAGTTTTAAAAATAAAAAGTTTACTGTATATTAATATTTGTACCAAGGTATTATTATTAATATATTTATAGGCTAAATTAGAACTACTAAATTTAAATATATATATACTTTATAGTATTAAATTTAGTTATTATTATTATTTAAGGTAATTGTTTTATATTTCAAAATTGGCATTTACTATTATCGGTTATATTTATAAGTTTAATGTATAATTTAAATTAATGTCTAAATTWATRTTTTTGTTCACACAACATATGAAATAAAAAATAGTTTCAAGTTTACTAAGTAATACAAAAACACAAAAATAATTTAAATTTTGCAACAATTAAAAATTGWTAAATTTTCTATCCAGTATACTCATTTTATGTATAATAAAAAATGTAAGTTAAAATAACAAATATCATTGTTTAATACTTAATCAACAAATACATGATACAATGTATAAAGATAGTATTTTGATATGAAAACATTTATASAGTAATAATATTAATTTTTATTTCATAAATCACTAATATTATAATTAGTTTTAAAAATTGTTTATATTACTACTGTATTAATTATTATCGTAAAAAATTATTTGATTATATAATTGTATAGATTATATACAGTATATGGTCTATTAGACTGTACTAATCTAATTAGTTAATAATACTAAATTAAGTACTGTATTAATAGTTTATTTTATTTGATAATAATTCTAATTGCGATAAAATTTTAATAATAACTAATAGAATATTTAGATAGTAAACACTTGTCAAATATAACTTATGATAGCAAATACTTATATACTAATATTTAATCAATTTATACATGTATATAAAATTTTACTTTTGTTTTTAAGTTATTGTAAATGTTTAATTTATACTATTAGCAGCAATTATTAATATTAATATGGTACTGTTAGTTTAATTAACTATTAAATTTATAATTAAGTTTAGGATTATAACTAATTTATATAAATAATGTATTCTATAACATTAATTGTATTATCAACATTTATTTTAGGTAAAAAATAAAATGAATATACATTGTAAAATATACAGTATAAATATAATATATATGATATATTTTTTAGTAAATGCAAAAAATCCGTGTGTGCACAGAGATTATGGAAAGGGAGGAACGGTATGTGTTTGTAATGCAACATATTGTGACACATTTGACAAAATCGAGAAAACTTCGTCCGGAATTATAACACGATTTGAAAGCAATAAAAACGGTCTCAGATTTGATAAATCGTTATTAAAATTCAAAAAACAATTAAATAGTTTTACGCAAAATAATGGAAAGACAATTCAAATCAATAGAAATAAGACATTACAGGAAATTATTGGTTTCGGCGGCGCTTTTACAGATGCGGCCGCTATTAATATATTCAGTTTGAAACCACAATTATCTCAGAGGATAATCAATGATTACTATTCATCAGATGGCTTATCATATACTATGGGACGGATACCTATCGGTGGCAGTGATTTCTCAACACATAAATACACTTACGATGACTTAGACAAACGGGAAGACTTGGAACTTAAGAAATTCAATCTAACAAATGAAGACTTGAAATATAAGGTTTATAATTATATATAAATTAATGAAAATTAATGAAAATTTATTTAAATTTTAAAATTTGTTGATAATATACAGATACCATTAGTAAAGTTAGCTCTAAATGTAAGCTCAACTATAAAACTATTTGGTAGTCCATGGAGTGCACCGGCATGGATGAAGACTAACAATGATATTGCTGGGAAAGGTAGTCTTAAAGGAGATGCCGGTGGACCTTATTATAGATCATGGGCTCAGTATATTGTTAAGTAAGGTTTTATTAATTTCTGTTGTTTGCTAGTTATTACAGTTTTATTATAAATAATTAAAAAAACATAAAAATCAATAGATTCTTAAACTCATACAAATCAAATGGGATTGAGTTTTGGGGTTTAACCGTTCAAAATGAACCAATCGATGGACAAATACCCGGCTTTCCATTCAATGCAATGGGATATACAGCCGAACAGGAAAGAGATTTTATAGCTAAAGATTTGGGTCCGACATTGAAAGCCGCCAATTATGGTATCAATAGATTGAAACTAATGATTATCGATGACAATAGAAGTTCAGTAAACAAATGGGCAAATGTTATACTTAACGATAGTTCTAGCGCTCAGTTTGTATCGGGAATTGCATTTCACTGGTATATGAACGCCGCGAGTCCGCCCACAGAGTTAGACAAAACATATCAACAATTTCCTAATTATTTCATATTAGCTACAGAAGCGTGTGAGGGATGGTCTCCTTTTGAAACAGTTAAGGTCTCACTGGGAGACTGGGGTCGGGCAGAGACCTATGCTTACGATATCATTACTGTATGTTTTTTATATGAAAATATATTGATTCAAATAATTTTTTAATGTTTTGTTTTTCTCTTAAATTTTAATAATAATAATAATAATAACTAACTATTCATAGGACTTACAACACTATACGAGTGGTTGGATTGACTGGAACTTAGCGCTCGACACAACTGGTGGTCCAAATTGGGCCAAAAATTTTGTCGATTCACCCGTTATTGTCAACTCAACAGCTAATGAATACTACAGACAACCAATGTTTTACAGTTTGGCTCATTTCACCAAATTCTTGGAACCGCTTTCAAGAAGAATACAGACCACAGACACCGGTACAGACCAGTTGCAGACCATAGCCTTTGTAACACCCAATCAGTCAGTTGTGGTCATCGTTTTGAATCGTCTCAACGATACCATTCCGCTTACATTAGTTGATCCCGAATTGGGATCAGTTGAGACCAATGTTCCGCCACATTCTCTGCAAACTTATGTTTGGTATAAATGATAAATTTTTTGACAATAAAAACATATATATAATGATAATATTAAAAAAGCAAAATTATAGTGAAATTATTAAATACAATATATTAACTATTATTAATTAATAATTTTAAAAAATGATTGATTTATTAATTTATTAAATAATTGAATAGTTTTATTACATTTTTCATAATCACCGCTTCAATTGCTTTGTCTCCAAATGTGTCATCAATTATGTGCAAAAAGTTGTCAATTTGTTGCTATAAAATCAATGGTAAGTTAAAAGACAATTGAAAGACATAATTGATGAATGAATTGATGTAATAATAAATATGGACTCAATATGAGAGTCTATTGTTGACTATAATCGCAGCCAAACATCAAAATCTCATTGATTTTTGCATTGAATGACAACTATTTGATTGAATCAAATCAGTTAATCAAAGAAATCAATTGTTTTTTTAAAATTTCAATTCTTCGGCTTTTTCGGCAAAGTTTACCACAAGAAGTAATAGTGTTGTGTCCGTTATGATGACAACACTTGCATACGACGGACATTCAGCCAAACGGATCAAAACGGCTGAAGAGGTAAATGAAATGAAAAGTGACGGCCAATAGGTCTCAGATGTAATGAATAATAATAATAACGATTTGTTTGTATGTATTTTGCTGACCAAAAAACAGGACCGCAATTTTGGACAAAACACGGCTTATTTTGGACACTCCAATTCCCGATACTCTAACCCGAACCGGTAGGTGTCGTATGACTTGTCCATTGAATAAAAAAACATTTGTCAGTCATTACAATGACAACAAAATTATAGATTGTTTTATCAATTGATTTATTAATTTATGTATTCAAGTGTTTGATTCAGACTATCCTTTTGATTCAATACATTATTTATGGGATCAATTTGTTGTGATTATCGTGTATTATGGTGTGTGTGTGTGTGGATGACAATTGTCATTGATCAAAAATGAGCATGATAAATATAAATTAAATTGCATATTTATTAATTTACCGGTATATATATTCATATATATATATATATATATATACTGTAGTATTGTATAATTAGAAATGTGCATGCTGCATTTGTTTGATTAACAAAAAAATCAATAAACACATTGATCTCTATTATCATTGGGTTTATTTAATATTATATAAACACTTATTTAAGTTAAGTTATAAATGTATATAAATATTAACAAATTTTTTTTAATGATTTTTAAATCAATATGTTTAGTATTAAACGTTTTTGTTTTTTTTAAAGTACACATGTTATCCAAATATTTAATAAATTGACGGTTTTTTCCCACAGATAGATAGATAGAGAGAAAAACAAGTATTGATAGTTTGAAACTAGTTTTTTGTTTGTAAGTTAAATGACAAGAAAAGGGCACTCAAATCAGTGATGATATTATTATTTTTAAAAAATATTATATAAAATGTTTAAATTGAGAGGAAATCTGAGAGTTGACTGTTGTTGTTGTTGAACAACAAGATTCAAGTGATTCAGGTTTTGCTGCACACCATTAGATATGATCGGTGCGAGTGATGATCAATTGAATGAATACCTGAGCTTTAAAAATATAAAAATAAAAATTCAAACACTTTTTAATCTTATATAAAAAGTACTTGTCTTCCGATATGTGGCTTATTTCATGAATTTTCAATGTCAAAGTCAATAGTGTTTTTGAATATAGTTTTAGTAGAAATTAAAAAGATTTAAATTGTTATTAATTAAGTTAAAAATATTATATTTTAATTTGTTTTTGTGTTGAAACCCATCTCTCTATTTATATTTTTAATACCCAATGGCAGTGAATGCAGCGTTTGATGCGACAAATCGTTGGCTATATATATGCCATCAATTGAATGCATTCATACGCTTTCGTCTCCACGATTGCAGTGAACCTAAAGTTTATTCACCCCAACCACCCCTTTCCTCACTAACAACATCACACAATCCCAATCTGTCAATTGATATCTACTCATCACTTAATTTTAAACATAATTTACACAATAGTCATAATAATAATAATTATTTAAAAACAATGTATGAATTAGTATATATACTGTATATAAATATTGATCTGATTATTGTCTATCCAATAGAGATGACGATCGCGTGAATCACGTGCTTCTCATAACTGTCATAAACCCGGCTTATCCTATAACATGCGTAAGATTTTTGTTGTTATAGATTTGATATATTAGTTAATTTTAAATGGTTTACAACATTTGACAAAATTGATAACAAATAGGATGTAATAAACCAAATCTGCAGTCCCTCTGGAAAAGTGTTGAGAATAGTTATATTTAAGAAGAATGGCGTTCAGGCAATGGTTGAGTTTGATTGTGTCGAGTCTGCAAAACGGGCCAAACAGGCACTCCATGGATGCGATATCTACTCCGGATGTTGTACTCTACGCATTGAATACGCAAAGGTATGGATCAGTTATCTCTCGGTTTATCAGTTATAACTATACGCTAACTATATCTTGAATGTATAGCCGACAAGACTTAATGTCTATAAGAATGATAACGAGAGTTACGATTATACGAATCCAGCTTTAGGTGAGTGTAAGTCATAAATTTCATTTTATTTCATTAATACTATTATATAAAACATAACTATATATATATAAAAAATATATCCCTAACTATAAAATCCAACAAAAATCAAATTAAATCCAAACCAAATCAAAACAGACTCATACAACAAATTACCGACAAATTGCACTGACATTTAATGTGACATTTCTTATTTTTCAAAAAAACTAATTAAAAAAAATATTTATTCAACTCTTATTTCAATTTTTAAAAAATTCAAACACAAACCAAACTCAAAAATCAAGAAAAATTCAATAAAAAAATCTATCCTTGAGTTCATTTAGAGCTCAAAACATGAATATATATTTTTTAAAATTAAAATTATTTGAGTAATTCATTCACAATTGAGTTATGGATAACAAGAGAAATAACTGAACATTTTATATAAGAAAAAATAAAATACTAGTTATATATATATATATATCTAAATTATATATAGTAAGTGTTCAACAAATTGAAACTGAAATTTCACAACAAATTACATTAATTTTATATAAAAAACAACATCAATAATGAAGACATCAAAATCACGTAAAAATACAGAGAAATATTAGGCAACACATTGACCACCGAATCCATGTGTTAACTCATTGATCATATGCTTAGGCTTTCCAGTGGGACCTCATCTCAGCCAACAAAAGGACAGTCATTTGGAGTCGGTTTATAAGTATTACTGTCCAAGAGTTTGGGCTTAATTTGATGGTTGTGCTCATAAATATGGTACTTATGGCTCTAAAACAGTACATCAAATCATATAATAACCTTCACATAGTACTCAAAATAGTTTTGGAAACTTACGATTTGATTATTCAATCAATTAAATTATCTGTATTTGTCTTTTAGGTAAACAACAACAACAACAACAGCAACAACAATGCGATAGACCGGCACTTTTGACTGAACCAAATCCTCGTATGTATTATTTTGTTACTTTTCTTTGTTAGTCATTATTAGTTAATTATCGATTTTTTGCAATAACAAGATATGATGGGAGACGGAAGGAACCAAAATTCAATGGCAGCTCCACATCCAGGAGCTTATGGTGCCCCCGATCATCACGACGGCTATCATCATGACGGGTACGGTCGTGGACCACCTGCTGCAGCGCAGCCTTATATGGGTGATCCCTATATGCAACAAGCGGGTGATCCGTAAGTATAAACTTTATAATATTATATTAATAATAGAATTATTATAATAAAAATTAGAATAATATAATATTTAGTATATAATATTACCGGTAATTGTAAATATTTTTAAATATAAATAAAAATAAAGGTATAGAGACGGACGTCAACCACCAGTATTGGCTACAACACCAGCTCCTGGTTATGGACCACCACCCGGAGCTGCTCCACTTATAGGTGGCGGTCCTCCACCACCGGCCGGAGCTCCACAACAGGGCTCTGTTATGATGGTCTATGGCTTAGACGGAGAAAAGATGAATTGCGACAGAATTTTCAATTTGTTTTGTTTATTCGGAAATGTGGTTCGGGTTAGTAATGAAAATACTATAGACTATTTGAATTTGTAAAACAAAATAAAAATTATCTTTAAATTTAGGTAAAATTCTTGAAGAGTAAGGAGGGCTGTGCTATGGTTCAAATGGGAGATCCGGTTGCAGTCGAGAGATGTGTCAATGCCCTCAATAATGTAACATTTTTTGGCCATAAAATGCAATTGAGTTACTCGAAGCAGGCTTTCCTTAACGATGTCCAACAACCCTTTGACTTAAACGACACTACGCCGTCATTCAGGGATTTTATGGGAAACAGAAACAATCGGTTCACTAATCCTGAGGCCGCCTCTAAAAACCGAATCTCTCCGCCGGCCAAAGTATTGCATTTTTTCAATGCTCCGCACGGCGTCACCGAAGATGATATTATGAATATCTTTAAGCAAAACTCAACTGCCATCCCAAGCGGTGTCAAGTTTTTCCAGTCCAAGAGTGAGTGTTGAGAATCTAGTGTTGAAAATATAATTTTTATTGATTTTGATTGTTAACCATCAAAACAGCCGAAAGAAGTTCTTCGGGTTTGATTCAGTTTGAAAGTGTTGCCGAAGCCATGGAAGCACTTGTTCTTTGCAATCACGTGTCGATTCCCAATCCAAGTGAGTGTTTTAATTCTAAATTATGTCAAATATAACCATTTAATTGTGATTATTGACACAAATAGGCGGAAAATTTCCATTTGTATTCAAATTATGTTTTTCATCGACTGGTTCGCGGTTTTAAGCATTTATTTAAAAATATTTTTTAGTAATCAATAGAAAAACAAAACAAAAAAGTATTGATGCAAAAACTTATTGGTTTGAAGTGTGGTTTAACTTATTTAGTGTCAAAAGTAAATCAGCGCTCATTTTGACAAAATTAAGTATTTGTAAGCATTCACTCATTTGGTCGCACGTCTTGAGCCGATCGACGGCCCAAACCATCTTTTGGTGGACCGTCTTCTCCACGTACTGTCTCTCTGTCTCCACATTATTATTATTACTACTATTACTATTAGCAGAATCTAAAGTCTTGTCCGATGGACTGACGGCCCTCTTAACCGAAGTCCTCGATTCAATCTCCTCTTTGTAATTGTCTTTAATCATTGCACTAACATTTGATCCATTACTCGATGATGAGTTTGGCACTAAGTTTTTTTGTTGTCAAATTCAAAATAATCATTTAATTTGAGATTTTTTTTGCATATGTATTATCATTAAAATAAAAATTAGTTTTTTGTCCACAAAATCCTGTCTTACTTTGATTATCAACTGATTGAACATTGATTTCATTACAATATATACAGTATTCGGTCGATGTCTTTGTTTTCATCAATGGTGTCTACAGGATATAACATAAGACATACTAAGTAATAGCCGACAATCAATCATATGATGAAATACCTGACATTTGGGACAATGATTATCCAAAAGAGTATATCCTTTCAGTAGATATGAACCCATAATTTTTGTTATCTTGTCTTCGACGGTACGATTGAATGACATTTTGTCGAAAGTATTAAACTTTATCACTCGAAACAGTTCCTAAACAATACCAAAGAAAAAAGAAAAAGTGAAAACAACAACACGTTTGAAGACGTCTTGGAAAACGATTTTGTTTGTAAACCAATGGGTAATAAATTGTATAAAAAATGATTGAATGAAATGGTGTCTCCTTCTGGTGTTTTCATTACTTTTTCACACATTTTTCAAATTTGTTGTCTATTTTTGTTGTCGTTTTTGAATGAAATGTGTTTTAACGGCATTTACTGTTAAAAAATTGAATTAATTAAGTGGTAATTGTGTTGATTGTATCGGTCAATGAGTGTCCGCAAAATGTATGGTTCAAGACGTCCGCCGACGACCACTACTCGATCGCCATACGAGTCGTCGACAACTAGTTTTCGGTCACAACTGAGCCAATTGGCGGCCAATCAGAGCGCCAATCAATCGTTTGACACTTCGCTCAACAGTTCATCATATATGAGACAATTCAATGTGTAAGCAGTTGTTGGTGTTGTCGGCGGATCTGATTATCTTAATCTCGACGGTCTCTAACTAATGTTTTTTTTGTTGAATATATTTTGCTAATAGATTGGACACATCGGTCAACATTTCAGCCAATAATCGGTTCAATCAGTCACTGCAGTTGTCCAGTCAAACAACAACTTCACATTTACTTAAATCCTACCAAACATTACTACCTGTGCTCGTCATTGAGGCCATCTCTTCGGATGGTATGTCATAATATATGATAAGATACTAACAAAAGTGACCACAAATTAGCTCATAATTAATATGATATGTTTATTGTAAAACTTAATACAATCAATCAATCAATTTATAATTAATTTTTTTCTTATAAATCACATTTTGTGATACTTTCGTATATTACGATATATATACTGTATATCAATATTTATAATAAATATATAGATATTATCATAAATATGTCATTATATAAGACATATATTTTCAAATTATTGCCAACATTTTGAATATATGAATATATTTAAAAAAAAGTACTGTATTTGCATATATATAAAAATATATCTAAAATATTTGATAACATAGACTACAAATGCAATAATATTCAAAAATGTTTGTCACAAATGATAGGCTTATGTTGCGATAAATATAGAAAAATAAATAAATATATTGTAAAGTTGTGATGACTATTATATACTGTAGTTTTTTTATGTATCGGTATATAAATTGAGTTTCACGACTATATGTGTGACCGTTTGGACAAACAAATATAATTTGATATTTAATATTATAATCTGTGATGTATTATATTTTTAATATTAAAATTATTTACCGTTTACCGTATGTACGCGCATATAACCCCCCCCCCATAGCAGGTTTTTAAGAAATAAAAATCAACTTTTAGTCTGGGGCTGTAACTCACATATAGCCCCATAGTTTTACATATAGCCCCGGATGCCTTAGGGGGCTATATGCTCGTACGGACGGTACTTATATATATATATATATATATGTGTGTGTGTGTGTATATATATCGTAATACAAGAATTAACTAATAATTTTTTATTATAAAGAATAATATTTTATTGAAATCTTGGACTGATTTTAATCAGTGAAATGGTATGAATCGAACAATTGATGAATTGGTGTTTTTTTTGTTAATATAATGTTTTATTTTTATACCGATGATTGCTATATATATATATATTAACGTATTTAATATAATAATATCTATCCAAATGTCATAATAAGTCATTTGTTTTGCTTTTGAATAGTTTTGTTTTTCCATTGTTTTCATTGTACATAATCTTAACATTTATTGATTTATTTCTGAGACAACATTATAGTTGGTTATCACAAGAAAAAAAAGATTTTTCTTTTCCATATAAAAGTTATATAATATAATACAATACAATATAATCATTATTACATAGACTACAGTACAGTGTGTTTGTGAATATATTCAGTATATAGTAAATGATTTTCATTTTTGTCTGTAAATGAAAGCGACATTTAATATATAATATATTCTTTAATTATATTTGAAAATAGTGTTTCATTAAACACTTTATGTATCAAAAAATCTTGTTTTATTTCATCTGTAAAAATTTTTAAATATATATTAGACAACAAAAAAAGATATAAAAAAAAGATAATGTGAAATGGATTTAAGCTTTTCATGTATATCTGTATTTGAAAAATGTATTTTTGAGCCAATGATATATTTGTCAGTGAAATGCTTTAAAATGTGAATGCATTTGATATAAATTGTGTTTTTCCGCTTAATGTTTGACTTATCGATAGCACAGTTAGTTCTATACATTATTATTATTATGTGGTATATATTATACCAGAATATTCTTTAGCGCTGTAAATGTGTCACCGGTTCTCTCTCTCTCTCTCTCTCTCTCTCTCTCTCTCTCTCTAATTCTGGTTAATTCATGATTGGCTTTTGCTATACAATAGTGTAGAAGACAATTAAAATGCAATGATAGCACACAAAACACTAAATTAATTAAATGTCCGTTCAATTGGACGTGAGTTGTGTGGCTATTAAACTATTTATATATGACTTTCATTTCAAATCGATTTTATCTCTTTAAAAACATTATTAAGTTTTCTTTGATTAGATTTTTTAGTCAGAATTATAATTTATATATAAATAAAAGTTAACAATTGATTATCATTTAAGTTAGACATTTATTAAATGGTAATAAAATTTAAAATGATTTAATTTAATCAATTCTGATGTTTATAATTGAAAAATAAAATCGATTGTGACATCTGAAGAATTTATATTAAATTTACTGAAATTAAACAGTGATTTATTATATAGTTTTTGTTTGTTTTTTGTATGCATTTATTATAATACTGTATAATCTTTTAGAGACTTTAAAAGATTTATATTTTGCGTTTGTATAATTAAATTAAATGTATATATAATTTTATCGATTTTTATTTTTTTTAAATTTATTTGTATCTTTAATGAATTATATATATATATATAGAATACAAGTATTGTGTTATGTATTTTTTTAAAAATGAAACAATTATTACAATTATTAGCCATTTAACTAAATTATATCCATTTGACTAATTATGAGCTGCAAATTGTGTCCAAAAAAATAACATTTTTTTAAACACTAGCTTTTCATTATATGATTGACAAGTAAATGATATAAAAAAATGAATGAAATTTTGTTGTTTGGATCATACAGTATATGTTGTCCTCAACCATCTATTATCACTATTTCACTGTTAATGACTTCTTGTGTCTGATATTATGTGTCGTAAGCATAACATTACTCATTGGAGTAAAAATTTTTTTAGTTTTTATTAATGACTGCTAAAAAAGTTAGGATTAGATGACAAAAAATATGAAAATTACTGTAAAAAATACCAGTCTTTTTCATCCAAATGATAGCCAATACAAACAAATTACATATAGAAAAAAATTTCTAAATATTTATATACAAGTCATTGGCACAGTTGTTGTCTTTTATTATTATTATTTTTTCGGTACAATTGTTTTTTTTTGTGGCCACATATGCGAAGTCTATTTTGTTATGATAAGTGCCTCAACTTTCAAGTCTCGTATTATTTGGTAAATGATTTGAAAATGTTTGCCACAAATGTTATTCTTAACTCTTATTTTTCTCTTCTTTTATCTGTCTTTTGTAAATCTCATTCATTTACAGAAAATATTTATTATACTAAAGAATATTCATATGATTTCCTGTGTTTTGAGTGAAAGTCATTATAATTTATACGATTCTTATATAAATATTTATGATGTTTACATATCATTCATGTTATTATTTAGCTTTAATGATACACAACTTCACACATTATTATGATAAATATAATGGATAATATTTTTTTGTAATTATTAAATTAATTAATATTTTATTAGTAAAAAAAGTTATTTACAAAAATAATTATATTTGCAAAACAAACCGTTAAATTCCTTGACTAAAATTTTTATTTTGTTATTATTATAAATTTTATTAACGCAATGTTGCTTTTGAAAAGCATAATATTTGAAGAATCTATAAATTAATTTAAATTGATTATAAAATAAACCTTATCTCAGCACAAGTATAAGTAATAAATCATTTATCCCATATGTGTTTCATTGTTTTGTTAAACAATATCTAATATAATCTAAAAATGCTAACTCTTTTGTTAACAAAATTAGTATAAATATTTTGGTTATTAGTTGTAACCCAGAGTTTTGACATTGAATTAAATAAAGCGATAAACTAATTAAAAGTTTATAAATACTATCAAAATATATACTGTTTTTAGTGTTTTCGTTGGGATCACTGAGTGTGAAGATGTCTCCTGAGGGCTGGGCATGGCTTGTATGCGGTCGACGACTATTTGTCTGGAAATACAAACAGGACGACAGTAGCAGAAGCTGTAGTTGCTATGAACTTCAATTACCACCGAGTGATTTGTCACACAATGCAGATCTAGTGTGTGTTTTGGACAGAACTCAAAAGTCACAGTCGATTCCCTCTACCATTGCTGTCACTCCCGAAGGAATTGTTAGATATTGGCCTAACATTGCATATGAAGAACACTCTATAGAGACGACAGCCATTGACCTGCAGGGACAGGAATGTATATCGCTTACAGACATTGAACCATACGGTTACATATTAGGCACAACCACCAGTTCCTTAGTTCATATAACAGTTAATGTAATTGATGGTCAAAACACAATCAATTGTAGGTTATTGAAAGTACCACAAGGAGTGTTAGCTGGCTTTGGGCGTAAGGTCTCATCGCTATTGTTTGGCTCAATGCCGGCCACACTATCATCAGAAACAAAACAATTGTTTAAAGTGGTTCGCAGTCATTCATCAAATTTATCGGATGAGCACTACATTTGGGTGCTCTCCAGTGTTTCCGCACAGAAATGGCATATAATTGATGACAACACAGAAAGAGTAAACTAAATAATCATTATTTTAACCAAACATATAACTAATGAGCGAATATATCATTAATTCCAAAGCTAATTGTGGACATGGACTTAGAGAGACCCGTCAAAGACTCATTTCTCGACAAAGTTTGGGTAATTTTAATACTTTAATAATGTTATAAAATTTTATTTATTCATATACTGCCTATTTATAAGAACCGGGAGACCACTCATCCAAACCAATTGAAGATATGGCTCATCGATATTGGATTTACTAAATCTGATGAATTGGTTTTATTAGTGGCCGGACTTAATGCCGAAGTCTCGAACCAACTATATTATGCTGTCATTACATTTAGTGATCTAAATATCAGACCCGAGACCAACATATTATTTAATTCATTTACTGTTTTACGTAATCACACGGTTTGCTATACAGAAGAGGATGAGGAACACCTTCTTAATCTTCATCTGCTGTCCGGAGCATTCAATAACCAATGGGTTTATATCTATAGTAATACACAAATGTTATGTCTTAAACGTAAGTTATTATATATATATATATATATATATATATATTGGTATTTAACATTTGTTACATTATTGTTATTTTTATTATCTTTTTGTTGTTGGTTTAAGTCGGAAGCGATAATATAGATCTAATTGATTTCAATTCACGAGACGACGGTATTTTAGGAGCTGGTATTTGTGATGGATTTCCTTTGTTGTTCACCCATAAAGATGCTCTCCTATCGATTATTCCTCCCAAACCAGATATAAGGTATGTCTAAACAGTTAATATATAAAACATTTTAACCATTATATAGTAGTGATGTTCGTATCACATAATGCTTGTTATTGTAAATGTAATGTTACAAAAAAATCTTGACATTTCATATGATTTATCTATTTATATATATATCAAACGCTTACCTATCAAGTGATGTAATGGATGTGCAAACCATTGATGAGGATATACTACCAACGGATGATAGCATTCATTCGATGGTAAGTCGTCTTAAATGTGTTTTCATTAAAAGCAATCGATTAATTCATAGCACTTTTATAGGCGCAAAGTCAGTACATGCCTTCAGCGACAGATTCTGTAGAAAACAATGCTCTCAACGACGATAACGTTGGAGTCATGATCTCTAATGATGTGCTGCAAACAGATCAACGTTTGGCCGAAACCGATGCACTCAATCAAACTACCGGCGAAACCAACTTCATTGAGAATGAGCCGCAACTCAAATGGTTACATGAGATCCATTTGGACCGTTTCGATGAGGCCTCGGAAACGCTGAAAAACTTAGCGCTCGACGAGAAAAACATGAGTCGCAAGAAAACATTGCTAAGCTTAAGCAAACTGTCGGCACTGGCAGCTGGTCTAACCGTTCCCGACGAGATTGACATGCAATTAGAACTTATTCTTCATCAGGAATGTCTGCCACAAGAAATTAAATCCAATAACCAATTGGATATCAACTCTATAGATGAAGTGCCACAAGAATTAATTGAAATCTATTCGAGCGAAACAAACGCTGAATTGGTTTCAATGTAATTGTTTTTGTTATATATATTTTTTTGCACACAATTATTGATTAATGCGATTTAAGTTTTAGTATTTTTTTTTATTTAATTAACATTATATATACACAAATATATTTTTTTCATAAGTTTCCAATAAAATACTATTGTTTTATAGTTACATAAATAAAGTTAATTTAATTAACCGAATAACTGCTGACTATAATGTTATGAGAAAAAAATGTTTAAATTTAATAAAACAATTAATAGGAAAAAGTTTGTACCAAAAAATTGTTTTTCAGTTGTTTTAAGTAATTAGATTTCATTTTGGGATTAACTTTTGCTTTTAATTTTTAGATATTTATCTATATATCTGTTCTCTACTTATTATTTTCTAAATCTTTTTCATTAAAATTTCTGAAAACGAGAATTAATTAATTCTTACTGTATTTATGTTTTCAGTGGATCCCTATATTATATATATGCTATATAAATGGTAACAATCTTTTGTAAAAATCACAAAAAATTTTGTTGTTTTATTTCCGTCAAAAAGTCAAAATGTATTTTATTTTGTGCACAAAATGCAATCACTTATCAAATCTTATATCCCTTTTGAGATTAAAGTTTGCTTTAAAATTTTGTTGTATTTTTTTGGGCCAAATATTTCTGATATTGAATGAAAAAAGCAAATACAAATAAAATAGAAATATATCGATTATATAAAGTAAATACAGCTATGTTTATATCAATAAATATATTAAATATTAATATATTGTTTAATATAAAATACGTACTAAATATTATATATATTTATATATATATTTTTAAATAATAAAAAAATAGTTAATTTCATAAAAGTATATTAATTTCTTAAACTGTTATTAATGACAACATTGATAGTAAAAATCTAACTAAAGTTTAAAGGAAAATGTTTTTAACTGTAACTACTGTATGACTTCCCTTTATGATCGAAAATATCATAAGTTCATTGATTTAACATAAAAAATGAAAACCATTATTAAATATATACAGTATATTGTTTGAATTGCATCAATAGTTTATATTAACTGAATTTGATTTCAACTATTATATAACATTTTTTTGAAAGAAAGCCAACAATTTTGGCGACACATTGAGAGAGAGAGAGAGAGAGAGAGAGAGAGAGAGAGAGAGAGAGAGAGAGAGAGAGAGTTAAGTTAATAATAATATTATATTAATAAAATTATATATATTAGAAACAAAAATGTATTAAAGATTTTTATATCGGATTGCAATCATTTACATTCATCGGTATAGAAATGATATGATATTAAATATTTAAAAAAAAAATTATATATAAATTTCAATTTGATGCCACAAATTTCATTTATTTCGATGCATTTATTGAAACGTTTTGTTATTTAAAGTAATTTTCTGGTTATTCCGGTTCATTGCAATCAAGTCTTATTCAACAATTGTATGGCACGAGGGAAGTGATGCCACTATTTAATAGGATATTTCACATTTACTCTTGTATTTAATATATACCACAATATGTTTTATTGGAAAAATAAAATTTTCATTTTTACTGCATTTTTCTCATCAGTTGATGACTTGACTGAACAGTTAAAAGTCATATCAATTTCTCTCAATTTTTTTTGTACAATAATTTTCAATGAGAATTGTCGATTCAATTCGCTTTTATAGATATTATTTATAATATTAAGTCATCAAAATTATATGAAAATACTTAAAAAGATATATTTTTGTGTAAAAATCTATAAAATTTATTAATCGATTTTAACATTTAATTTCTTTGTTTGATTTTTTAAAATATCTGTTTTATAGTTTAAATTATTTGAATTAAATATTTTGAATTATTTTTTAATGGCAAATAACATTTTTATATACAAATATCAACTATATATTCGACATTTTTATATTATATGTATATAATATTTATAAACTATATTATTATATTTAGATATCATTGAATAAGAAGAACTCTTAAACACTAGATTTGCAATGAATAGACCAAATGTTTTGTTATTTGTTTGTATAATACTTATGGCAGTGATTGTCACTAATGTATTAACTGAAGAACAACAACAACGAAGAAGAAGTCATGCGTACGGCTTCACAGTTATCAAGAGTGACGGCAATACTGTCGACGATTATAATATAGTTTCCTATTTATATCGAAACCCTTTTAATAATAATAATAATAATAATAATAAAAGATTTAACCAAAAGAATGCCAAATATGAAGAATTGAGATTAAATGATGTGAAGAGTAACTCAAACAACAAGAATATCAATAATTATGGAAAAATTTCTTCATTGAATCGGAACCGATATCAAGAAGAGCGACCCATTGCTCATATGAAAGACTCGGATTACAGTCAAGAGTATCAACGCTTAAGACGACTATTAAAACAAAAAAATATTTATTTTGACAATACTTTGGACTTAAATTTCCGTCAAAGACGACGACAACACCCGACCGACACTTATGTTTATTAATGATTATTACGGATAATAAATATTAATATTAATAACAATTTTCATAACTTTACTTTTTTATACGTCAAATGCTTTAATAATTTACTCTCTATTCTCGCCATTAATACATAAATATAAGATATAAACTAAATATATAGTACTTAGATGATGATAATGATAAAGTAATATTCATAAATATTGATTAAATTACATAATAAATAATTTGCTTTATATATAATGTATTTCTTTTGCTATCTATATATAATTAGTTTATTTAATATTAACATTTTATCAAATTGAATTTCAATGTTTTATATTAGTCTATTTATTTAAATAAATTTTTATTAATATAATAATAAACTTTATTTTTTTACTTATAATATTAAAGTTACTATTTTTTAAACTTTATTTATTATTTATTTTTCAGAATATTGTACATAACTTTGCCATATTTTTGCCATATTTGTAATATTTACAAATTAAAAATATGAATATTTTATGATTAAAACAATTTAAAGTAACATTTATTTAGCTTTATTAAATTATTTAATTTGAACGGTAGTATAAGATAAAATAAATTATTATTTATATAGTATAAAAAATATGTAAAAATATATATAATTAAATTAATATTATAATTTTTTATAATAGAATTAGTTTTATAAATAATTTAATAAATTATTTGATCGACATGTTTTATAATCAAATTATAGATTATAAAAAATATAGTAAATTTTTGTTTCAAACTAATTTTAAAAAAATAAAAATCTACATTAAATTAATAGCTATAATTATTATAATAATAAATAGCTTTTGAAAAATTAATAAAAATTTTTGCATAACGTTTATTGTTTTCGATCAATTATAAAACATTTAATGGGCTCATAATTTGATACATATTTTTAAACGCAAAATCTGGCAAAATTTGTTTAAAATGTTAGAGCTATTCATCGATTTTGAATACTAGGCCAACATATTAAAACATTTTTGTTGTTTTAAATTTTTTTATTGAAAATGGACATAAACTTAAAGGCAATAAATCACTTGATATATTATTTTTTTATGTATTAAATGATTTATTGATATACGAAATAACTTTAGAAAGTTTTAATTTGAAATTTCATTTTTGCTTTTATTGTTATTTTTTATATCAATCTATTTTTGTATAAACATTTAATTATATTTTAGTTATGAAAATATAGATGATTTAAAAATAATTAATAATTTATAAGTTAGAATTGATATTTATTCTTATATTATACTATTTAGTATATATAATATAATATGAATTATATATTCAAATAGATTATTGCTTGACAATATTAATTTAATTTTTTTGTATTAATATTATTTGTATTTTATAGTATTTAAGTTTTAACTATTACTGTTAAGCTTATCATAATATAAATAAGTCTTATTATAATTATTGTGACACTAATTCTAAAAATGCAATACTTATAAAAACTTAAATAATAAAAGCATTTTGAGTATTAAATGTTTTTTATAATATATTTTATTATAATTACATTTTCTGCTAATTTAATTTCCCAAATAATTATTTCGACAATAATAAATTTAATAACTAATTAAATAATTAAATATTAATAAATATAGTATTTTAATAAATATTTTATTAAATGTTAAAGTAGATATTTATTGCCTTTTAATAAATAATTTGTTATATGTACTTTTAAATATTAATATTTATCGAAAATATATTAAATTAAATATATATACATTAATTATTAACATTTATATTACTAGAAATCTAATTAACATTTTATTTAAAACCATTGGTATAATATTCATAAAACTAAAAATATTTATTAGCTTAAATCAATCTAAAATATTTAACAACATTTCAATACTATTAAATGTTTAATGCACTTATTATTCGTTTAAAAGTCAATGCCATATATTTTTATGTAATTATAATACTCTGGTATTTGTTTTGGAAATTTATAAACAAAATTTCAAGAATTTTCATTCAAAAACTATTCAGAAAATTAGTGTTTATATTTGAGTTCAAAAACAGATTCATATAATTTAGACAATTTTATTGGCAAATATACAGTCAATGTTTGACAACTAGTTTTAATGAAAAGCCGGAGCTTTTGGTTAGGAATTCAATGTTAGAGAGACTATAAGTGCAACACTTTTTTTTGTTGTCTATAATTAGATTTAAGACTTATTTATTGTTTAGATAACTAACAACGAAATTAATGTTTTAAGTTATGACTCTCTCTCTCTCTCTCTCTCTCTCTCTCTCTCTCTCTTTCTCTCTCTTCAACTCACTAACACTTTTACTAGTCTTTCATCATTTATTCAATATTCACTAAAACAGACTTTTTATTAGTTGATATAATAAATACTACAAAATATATTTATCGTTATAAGTGTTTATATAATATCAATGTTAAGGCATAACCAACTGATTCAAAATAATAATCCGTTTACAACATAATCAAACCACGACTTTATGCAAAAATATGTTTTTAAAATTGTTTATTAAAATATCAATTTATTATAATATTTTCATTTATTTATTTGTTTTACCTATACTAAAAATGAGGGCATATATAAATTTGTTATAAACTTTCAAAAACTCTTAAACGATAATTTGTTATGCATTACAAAAACATTTTTAAAATTTAGTTTCAAAAACATATTTTCTTCAAAATCATCAATAATTAACATCCGATAAAATCTTATAAATGTTTACTTTAAAAATTATTATTAAATTGTGTCGATTTATTTGAGAATCTAATTGAGAAATAGTAGACTCAATAAATTTTTAATTGTAAATATAAATGTATTTATTTTAATAGACATTATCAAAGTTGTCACTAAATTCATAACTTTATTATATAAGTTATAACTGCATTAGAAAAATCAAACTGTATTAAGGAGTAACTTATTATATAATATGTTAGGTTAGGACACTATACACTGTGTATATGATATAAATATATGTTTAAGTATAACACAAACAAACGGTTCATGTATTTTCTTTACTGTATTAAATGTTTATATTTAATCACACGTATAGTTTATATACTTTATATATATAAAAAAAATAACATAAAAGTGTTTTTCATGTATAACACTACCCGATACTGCTTATTACACCATCACATATACTGTCCTTAATAGAGACAACTAAATGTGTAAATGGCTTATACTTATTGGATTCAAAACACATTAGTCCGGTTGGGATTACCTATTGGTAATACTGGAGATTACAACCAGAGATATAATTTATTAGCTTTAAAAGTATCATAAAAACAAATATTATCAGATGTCGATTAAATAAATCATAAAAATTATTTCATAATATCAATAGTAATCAATTTTCTTAGAAAGAAAACAAACATGTTTTTATATATTTATCACTAAATAATAATTAAATGGTAAACAGTAAATATAATTAATAACTATATATATTTTATATATAATTTATACTGTATAGTAGTATTTAACAAATATGTTAGCAAAAAAATTAGTTTAGTCATTGTCCACATAAATAATTAGATACAAACCACGAGCCCTCCTATTGTGAACCGTATATACAGTACTATTAATTGTTTTTGGTGTCAATTAAATTGATACTTTGTTAAACATTTAATGATTATATATATATATATTGTATATATAAACTAAAAACTCTAATTCATCACAACATAAATGCTACAAAAATAATATTTTTTTGCTGTTTAGTTAAAGTTTATTAAACAAATTAAATGGGATAGAAGTTTAGTAAAGATTTGTCAATTTAATCTAACAAATATAGTACTATTAATAATAATTTATTGTTAAATTTAGATTAAAATGTTATAATTTTAATGATTGAAAGATTGATTAATGACAATACGTTTAATTAATTTATTTATCCCAAACAAAGCGCTCAATAATATTTAGTAAAATATCCTAATTTTTATATAATATATAAAATTTATAAATCAATAATAAGTAAATATAATTTATACATACTATAAATCAAATGAATACTAAACAGCAATTAATTTATATATTAAATTAATGATATTTAAAGCTAAGAATTATTAGTTCTAGAATTAGTTATTGAAATAAAATTATTTAAAAGTAATATAAAATGCAAACAATTTTTAGGTTTCATAAAGTAATACATACACCTATTGACAACACTATTCGAGATTTTACATTAAAAAAGTAAAGTTTTCCCACCGACTGGTATATTGATGCGGGAAATTGATTGAATCAATGAAAACTTATGACAGGATTCACACAGGGGACCCATTTTTAGTTCACTAAATTCAAATATATATATATATATATATATAACATATTTTAAATAAACAATGTTAAACTAAACATTGAAATTATTTATAATAGTTTAAATGATATATTATTCATATACCTGTATATACTGTATACAGTACAGACAGGCAAAGTACTCAAGTTATAACAAAATTATTTATTTCAATATATACAATACATGTAAATTTTAAGTATACAAAGATTTATTTTTATATGCACTAAACTTTACTATTACTATTACTATTACTATTATTATTACTATTACTATTACTATTACTATTACTATTACTATTACTATTACTATTACTATTACTATTACTATTACTATTACTATTACTATTACTATTATTATTACTATTACTATTACTATTACTATTACTATTACTATTACTATTATTATTACTATTACTATTACTATTACTATTACTATTACTATTACTATTACTATTACTATTACTATTATTATTACTATTACTATTACTATTACTATTACTATTACTATTACTATTACTATTACTATTACTATTACTATTACTATTACTATTACTATTACTATTACTATTATTATTACTATTACTATTACTATTACTATTACTATTACTATTACTATTACTATTACTATTACTATTACTATTACTATTACTATTACTATTACTATTACTATTACTATTACTATTACTATTACTATTACTATTACTATTACTATTACTATTACTATTACTATT